GAATGAGAGTACTCTTGTGAGGGAGGGATAAAGGAAGGAAAATCTGAGAAAGAGAAGCTGAGGCAAAAGTGAGGTGCTGAGAAAAACAAAGGAAGGATATTAATTATCTGCTTTGGTTGGTGTAATAACAGAGCCAAACTCCCCTACCAGCTTTCCCCTGAATTACATGTGAGTTTGGTCAGAATGAAGCTCAGGAAGAGATTCCCTGCTTTGCAAATAAGCAACCCTTGATTTGACCCTTCTCCATCACACACACTTACACAAAGATAAATTGACCCAAAAGTTTAAAAAAACAGCTTTGATGCTTAGAGTACCAAAGGAGAGATGGTTTTAAAGGAGATAGCTCAAAGCGATGAAGTTCTAGCATTTTTCATACAGGAGGCCTGAAAGTAATAACTGGCACTCAATAGTCCTCATAGAGTCCTGCTGGGTATACCATACTGAGCAAGAAACAGGGTGGAGGTTGTAAGTAAAACTAAGTTGTCCTTCCCTCCAGCAAATAAAAATTAGTTTTGGCAAAAAAAAAAATCTGTAGCACTGTAGCACTGTCCTACCATTGTTCATTGATTTGCTCGAGCGGGCACCAGTAATGTCTCCATTGTGAGACTTGTGTTACTGTTTTTGGCATATCGAATACTCCTTAGGGAGCTTGCCAGGCTCTACCATGTGGGCAGGATACTCTTGGTAGCTTTTCAGGCTTTCCGAGGACGGAGAAATGGAACCCGGGTCAGCCGCATGCAAGGCAAATGCACTACCCGCCGTGCCATCACTCCAGCCCAGCAAAAAACTCTATAAACTTGAAAATATTACTTTTGGGGCCCGGGAGCAATATTTTCATCCCAGAGCTTGAATTCAAAGTATTTCTGATTTTTTAAAAATAAAATTTAAATATCATAAAGCCAAATTCTAAGGCTTCTGGCTTTTTTCCAGAGGAAGGAGCTCTTGTAACAAATGTAATTGTTGAGGCACCTGGAGTTGGTGGCATGTAAATGAGAGGACCGAGCTGGGGTACAGTGGGGTTTTGAAGAGGAAGAAAGTTGAAGGGGCACTGGAAGAAGTGGCTTTGAGGTTAATTCGGATGAGGGGGACACAAATTCAGAAGGTGATATATCAGGGCCAGTAGGGAAGCTTTTCCATGTCCACTCTCACCCAACCCCAGAAGAGAACAGATGGAGAAACATCTCCATGACAGACCACTTCACTCTCTATTTTTTTTTTCGTCCTCCTGAACCTTCACAAGATTCCAAATTCACTACTGCTGAGACCAGCCTCAGCACCATCAATTGATGTTCCATTGCCGGTTGACACTCAAACACTGAGTTCTTTCTCCAAAAAATTTCTGGCTGTTATTATTATTTTCTTTGAGGGGCAGAGTGGTGGTAGAACGGTGATCAGAACACCGAGGGTCCCTCTGAGTGATTCTTTTGTGTGTGTTGTCTGGTAAATGCAGTGCTGCACATTTACCATTTAAATTTTCATGCCCTGGCCCCCATTGCATGGTTTTATCTGCAGCAGCAAGACAGAGTTCTGCAAGTGTTCAGAGGAGATGACGCAATATAAAGCTTTTGCACGGTGGTCCTATCAGGTGAGCTCATTCTGGAATACTGACTGCTGCCTCCCAAAAGATGATGTCTTGGAGGAGGCAAGGGATGGTGGGACAATTGGGGCACAATTGTCTAGAATTGGACTTCTCCACCTGAGTCTGGGACAAGAGACAGGTAAAATAAGAGGTGCTCTTAATTTTCTTCCTCCTAATGAATACATATTTGTAGATTGGGGTGATCAGCAGTGGGTGGGAGGTTTTAAGTTGGAGGGACTGCATTAGAATATTTGGAGAAAAAAGTTAAAAATTCTTTTGAGAATTTTCTGAAATAATCTGTTCATCATAAACACTTTAACCACTGCATCTGCAGCTCATGGGTGGGTTTTCCAGGTTTTCTTGTACCCCAGACTGTAAGTACCAATCAAGTCAGAACTCATAGAGGTGTGTTTACTAGTTCAGAGAACAGAACCAAGGAGGCTGTATGGGCTGTTGACATCACTGACCCAGTGAGAAAAGTTCTCCAAGTATACTTCCCACTTAGTATGGAAGCATAACTCCTGTTTAGGGAAACATTTTAAATGAAGTCTTAGTCTATTTCAAAATATAAAACGTTTTGATGAGTTGAGTGGCAAATCCCTGTATAGAACTCAGGCCTTGAAGAGAACCTGGGAGCCTAACCAAGTGATGTACTATTGTTTCCTTTGGAACTTTCTTAGAGAATTGTCAAAGTCTGTTTTTAGTGCTAACCGAAAGTCATTCTTTGGTGGAAAAGGAACCCAATTTAGTGCCTAGAAAGTCTGATTAGCATAGAATTTGTAGAAGCAAGCGTGAATAATAATAGCTATGGGAAATCAGTGACAAAGCACCTGAGAAATTCTGGATTCATGTCCTCCTGCTCCTTCCTTCAGGAAACATGGGAAAGGATCCTGGCCTCCAGCAAGTACAATCAGGAGGAGTCTTTCTCTCTGGTGTTCCAGCCCTTCTTCTATGAGACAGATCTAACCCCTACCTTGGTGAGACTCTGCCCCCTCCCTCTGGAAAAGCCTATCTCCTACCAAGCCCAGAATGTAACCCTGTGGAGGGAAAGGTAGTGATTCTCCTGTTATTCATCATAAAAATTTTCACTGTGGAGTGGAGCCCTGGAGACATGTTCTTAGTAGCAGGACAATCTGCTGTACTTCCCTGATGTTTGGAGCCTGGCCTCGAAGAACGGTAAGTAATATTAGTTCCTTCCTCTCCTGCTAATCATCGATGTTAAGACAATCTTAAGACTTCTTCTATTTATTCTCATTACAGGAAACCTCATGATGTCAAGGAACAGCTACTGACTCTCCCTTCATGCTCTATAAGTAATATTTACATTGGGGATGTGGTGGTACAGACAACGAAGTTGGATGGATCAAGGCCACCCCCACTGCCAAGGAGAACTTCAAAGTGTGGGTGTGTATGTGTCGGAAGGGGGGTAAGGCTTCTTATCTGAAACTCTTTCAGATGCAGCAGACACTGCAAGACCCCACTGCACTGGGCTTACACCTCTGGAACAGCATGGTGAGTGGCCAGGGGAAACCATCGTGCTGCCTAACAAAGGGGGATATTCAGTAGAAAAGGAAGCTACCAATGCCCCCTCTCCTCATTGCTCTGTTTGAGGGGGTGCAGGATGCCTGCATAACCCACTCAAAATGCCTTTGGGACACCAGGAATCCCACGCCCATTTTTCAAACCAGTGATAGCCCAGTTCCTCTCAACTTGTCCCAGGGGCTTAACTGTGACCTCAGGCAGGCCTCTCCCACTGAGCAGAAATTCTCACTCTGTAGAAGCATGAGTGAGCTGGAAACAGGGAGTGGTTCATCTAGTAAATTCTGTCCCTCTGGCTCTACCCACTAGCACTGATGTTCAGCCAAGCTGCTTCAGAGATCCAGGCTGGCACCTATATAGAACTTGGGCCTTATCATCAAAAGGACCATGTGTATATCCTGTCAGATCTCTCACAAGGTGGTAATTTAAGGTTTTAATTCCCATTCTGCAAAGGCCAGGCCAGACCCCTAGATATAACCCATCACAGGATGATTGTGTTGCTCAATCCTGCTCAAAGGAAGGAATCCACACCTGCTGACCTATCTATTTGAACCCTGTGTGTTCCCCCACCTCGAAACCTCAAAGTCCTTGGGCAGTAATCCTTAGATATGTGGGAGTTGAAAAGCTAGAGCCTCACATGGTACTAGAGATCTTGCTTTTCCATTATTTTCTGCACCCATCAAGACAGCCCTATTTTTCCATTTCCTATGAGACTTATCCAAAGAAAAGCCTTATTTTTAAATTCTCTATGAGACAAACTTGATTTCCATTTCTTTTATTGTCTCTCCCCTCATCAACTTCAAAGAGCCTTCCCTCTATCTCCCTCTCCACTCTCCCTCTGTCTCTATACCTCCTTGTCTGCCTCTATCCTCTTTTGATATGCCCTGTCCTACATTGTAAAAAGTTGTGCCTTAATATGCACCGACAGTAGAATGAGGGAGGGGAGTGAGGGACTGTCTCATAGAATCTACATCAGTGCAATTTCTTGTTTTCAGAAAGATTTGGCTTCCATAGATGACACTAGATTCCTGACCTATAGTTGTCATTCGTCTCTCCCCCAAACTCCACGTTTCTTGTCTGTGATGGCCAGATAAAGAGAATCTTACTACTTCTGAAAGGAATGGTTCCACCCATCCTCTCTTTGGGGACACACAGTTGAAAGTTTCGGTTCTGTAAAATCTCTCCTCCAACCTTTCCTTCTTTCTACTTCACTTCCTCCATAGATTTTCAGCCTAGCACCAGAAGAGTCCTCAAATTTTTCCCTGTAATATATCTCAGAAATACATAGAAATACAACAAATATGGGCTGGAGAGATCGCACAGCTGGGCATTTGCCTTGCACGCGGCCAACCCGGGTTTGATTCCCAGCATCCCATATGGTCCCCTGAGCACCGCCAGGAATAACTCCTGAGTGGGAAGCCAGGATTAACCCCTGTGCATCTCCAGGTGTGACCCAAAAAGCAATAAAAAATAAATGCAATAAATAGCATGTTTTCTCTCTCTGCTGAAGGTCAGTTAATCCAGAGAAACAGGGGTGATCTTGAAATTAAGTGCAGCCATGTATACCATCCTAAAGCTACAGGGTCCTGAAGTCTGAGAGCCCTAGGGGATGGGATTAAAATTGTCTTTTAGGGAAATGAGGTAGTATAGAAGGAAAGGTGCTTGCCTTGCGCATGGCTAACACAGGTTTGATTCTGAGCACTAAACATAGTATCCCTGAGCACCATCCGGAGTGATTCCTGATTCAGGATATTCCATGAGCAACCTGGGTGTAAGAAAAATCAATTTTTCTTTTTAAAATGTCAGAGAGGAGATGGAGATGGAGATGAAAGAAGTAAATGTACATAAATGGGATGGTCCTTTGTATGTGATTTCCTTCTTTAAACATATGGGATGTTTCACGAATTTGCATGTTATCCTTGCACAGGGTTCATGTTAAACTTCTCTGTATTGTTTCAACATTAGTATAGGTGCAGCTGAAATGGAAACCCCCACTAATTCTTGAGCAAAAGAGTTTTATTCCTTTTTAAGAGATCACACCTTCATATAAGATGCTTCCCAATTAAAAATAAAAGCTAAGTTCTTTCCTGATTCTTATTGATTTGGCATCGTCCTGGAGAAGATTCTGTTCGTAAATTTAAAGTCTATATTAGGGCAGTAGAATTTTTTATTGCTGAAGACCAGGTGATCCTTCCCAGAGATTCTTACTAGCATTCCTGTCAACATCTTATTAAAGACAAGGGACTAAGGGACCCTAATTCTACAGGGGCTGGACACCTTTGGAAAGTAAGGCTCACAGAAAACACTCTGCTTCCAACCTCTCAAAGAAAAAGAAGGTGGTATTGAGGTGCAAAGTTAAATCTGTGATCTTAGAAACGATTTCCTATGTTTACATGTATATGCAGAACACTGAAAATAACAAAGAAACTCTAAAACTAAAATCAGAGTTGTCTCTTATTCTCCAACTGACTTCACTTCCCCCTGCCCCCTCAGTTTTCGTCGCCTTGTGTTTCTGTTTGTCCCTCCTCTTCTCACACACTCTTGTTAGCAAAGCTTTATCATTCAAGTGCTGCCTCTTTTTGATCCAGATACTAGGATGGACCACACTAGACATTCTAGTTATCTGTGTGAGGACACAGATGTGTTCATCTCTGTCTTGGATTCTAGTTAAAGACATGAGACTGACTAAGAACTTATTTCCTACACAAGCAGGGAAAGTAGATTGAATATTTCAAAACGGCTTGCTTCCAATTAAACATGGTTGGGTATCAGCCAAAGATGGGGGCACCTGGGAAAAGATACAAGAATCCCATGTTTCTTCCTTTTCCATTAATTGCCCTCTTGAAGGAAAATGAATCTCTGAGCTGGTAAGAATTGAGCAGCAATAAGAGGTATGGAAACCAAATTAATGACTGACACTGTCACCTGGATGCTTAGAAAGCTCTGTGGCAATCTGAGACTTTCTATAGAATCCCAGAAACAAGTGCCCTATACTTGGCTTGATTTCTCTGTGTTCAGATTCTCCTCCTACAAAATCAGAAAGGGTGGACCAGGGATCAGTGGCTCTTCTCATTGCGGCAAGCTTCCTTTTAAACAGCTACAGAATACTTCCCTCATGTCTTTTGAAATTCAGAAAGTTATCCCTGCAGCTTAAATTTCTCTCTCAATAGATCTGATACAGGGGCTGGAAATGAACATTTCATATACATTTAGGTGGTGCTGATGCTGAGGCCTAGAATCAGGCTCTGGGGAAATCTGGAATGTATCTTTCTCAGCAGATTTAAAAAAGCTATCAGCAGAAATAAAAAAGTCTTCCTAAAAGATGAAGTCATAAAATTTATATACAAGTGGTACTACATGGAAAGTATCATGTAAGCGAAACGAGTCAGAAAGAGAAGGACAGACATAGAAAGATTGAATTCATCTGGGGAACATAAAGTAACAAATTGGGAGACTAACACCCAAGAATAGCCAAGATAAGTACCAGGAGGTTCACTCCATGGCTTGAAGGCCAGCCGCACATGCTGGGGGAGAAGGCAGCTCAGATAGAGAGGGGAGCACCAAGTAAAGGGTGTTGGGAGGGTCCGCCCAGAATGGGAGATGCATGCTGAAAGTAGACTACAGACCGAACATGATTGCCACTCAATCCCTCTTTTGCAAGAGCACCCAAAAGGAGAGAGAGAACAAAAGAGAATTCCCTGCCACAGGGGTGGGGTGCGATGGGGGGTGGTGGGTGGGAAGGATGCTGGGAGCATTGGAAGTGGAGAATGGGCACTGGTGGAGGGATGGGTACTCAATCATTGTATAAATGAAACCCAAGCACAAAAATCTGCAAGTCTACAACTGTACCTCATGGTGTTTCACTAATAAAAATTTAAAAAAAAGAAATAGAAAAATCTTTTCTATTTTAAAGGTTAGCTTCTCTTGTAGATGGAGCCAGCAGGAGAGAAAGAAAGTCCATATAGTACAAGAGAGAGGAGGCTGGTGAAATGTCCCCCTAAGGTACATAAGGGCTAGGGAGGGGGAAAAGAGTCTTCTTCTGAATTCCAGGGATATTAGGGGTACCTGCTGGAGATTTCTGTGTCTGAGTTCCTGTCGTCTTGAGAGTTTAGGGTCTATGCATTTAAGGTTGGGCATGACATTATTAGACTTACACATGGAGCTAGAAGAAGACATATGGAAGATCTAAAGTCCCTGCTACATTAGTGAAACAATGCTTCATTTTATCTGACAAAAAAATATAAAGTTAAGAATCTTTAAGCATATTTCTGATAAGAAATGAGTATTAAATAACTGCTGAATCAATAAATGAAAAATTACTAAATATGAATGAATAGATTTTTTAAAAGTCCTTTTTATTGAAATTATTTGGCTTTCTCGAATTTTGTAAGTTTATTTTTTTATATATATAATGAAACATGTTACTAGTCGTATACCTCTCCTCTTTGGCTGTCAAAAGGCTTCAAAGTAAGTTATATTTTAATAGAAAGATGCTATTTTCCCTGCCATTATTAACCTCTGGTTAGAGACCAAACTGTGCTCCTTAATGTAAACAGCATTATGAAGATCCTTTGGGAAATTTGCAGGCTTTATGGACAAGGAAGTTCATAAAGAATTATTTCTTGCATCATTTGAAGGATGACCAAATTGGCTGACTCTATTAACGGATGTTAAGGCCTGATGATAAAGGATCCCAGGATCATGAGTTCAACCTATTCCTTTTCTCAGCAGGAACATCCCTATCTGTTCACCTACAGGAACAGCAACTATCAGCCCAGGTTGCCTATAACCCACCCCGTATTTCAGGTATGAAGAGGTTTTCTTTTTGACTGACAAAAATGCTTGTAATCCAGGGGCTTGGATTCTTGCTGAGTGCTTGGGAAATTTCATTTGAATGCTCTGAAGAAAAAAGTACCCATGATGCAGATGGCCTTTTGGAGCTCAGAGCATGTAGATTCACCTTGCCATCTTAATTGTTTAGTTAATAATTGTGGGGCTGGAGCACAGCGGGTAGGGCATTTGCCTTGCACGCAGCCAACATGGCCGACCCGAGTTCGATTCCTCCGCCCCTCTCGGAGAGCCCAGCAAACTACCCAGAGTATCTCGCCCTCACCGCAAAGCCTGGCAAGCTACCCGTGATGTATTCAATATGCCAAACACAGTAACAACAAAATCTCACAATGGAGACATTACTGGGCCCGCTTGAGCAAATCAATGAACAATGGGAGGACAGTGACAGTGAGGTGACAATAATTGTAACTTTATTTTATTTTTTTAAATTTTTTTATTAGTGAAACACCATGAGGTACAGTTATAGACTTACAAATTTTTGTGCTTGAGTTTCAGTTATACAATGATCAAGTACCCATCCCTCCACCATTACTCGTGATTGGCTAAAGTTATACAATGCTACAACATCATTTCCTTCACCAGTTACCCTGTGTTCCACCTACCCCCAGCCATGGCAGGCAACTTCTACTTTATATTTTTTTTTCTTTTTAGGCACTATGGTTTGCAGTACTGTTACTGATATGGTATCATGCAGATCACTTTATCTCCTTTCAGCACCTAGTCCTCATCCGAGTGACCATTTTCCTTGATCATTGTTATTATAAAGGTCCTGTCTCTGATGCAACCCTCAATCTTCCAGTGGCAAGATTCCTACTCAGGACCAGTTTTCCTGCTCATCATTTAGCTAGCATTTGGGCATTATTTATGCCTTTTTAGGTTCCTTTTTTAATGGGGGAGTAGAAGGAAGGCAATTCTGCTCAACTTGGATCAGAGCCTGCGTGGCTATAGACTCTGTCCCACCTGTACTTTATCCAGGAGAGCAACCCAGTAGCTGCCAGCAGCTCTCTGAGCATAGGGCCTGTACGGAGGGACCAGCCCAGCCTAGGCTGCCAGGGCTGGTCCTCTCTTGTGCAGCCAGAGAATGGCAAGAATGGCTACAGCAAGAGAAATAGAGCAACTCTCCCCACTGCATTCTGATATGGGGTGGGTTTTAATCTTTGATGGTAGGGGGAAATGGGGCCTTCCCTATCTGTACTCCAATGCTGACTCCCCATCCAGCTGCAGGGATGGAGATAATTACAAGTGAGCTTTATTACAACACCTACACAGGCTCCTCGGATCGTCATACGCACGGGTTCTCTTACTTCTCACACTAATCCTGGAAAGAAGGTATCATTAGGCACATTTTATGGAAGAAAAAACTTGACACACAGATATTTCAGTTACTTGTTCAAAGTCCCTTGGTGATTCAAAGTAGAATTGAACTCAGTTCTGACTTTGGGGTCTGAGGCTCCTTCCAAAAATGAGATCTAAATATCCATTTTATGTGTGAAATTAATTGCCTGCCCCTCGTCCACTGACCAATTTAACTCAGCATGATACTTTTCAGATATATCCATGTGTCAGAAAATTGCATGGCTTCATATTTTCTTATAGCCAGTAGTATTCAATTGTGTGTATATATATATACATATATATATATATATATATATATATATATATATATATATATATCGTATCTTGTTTAACCAGTCATGTATTCTTAGGTACTTGGTTTTTCTTTTTCTTCCAGACTTTGGCTATTGTGAATAGTGCTAAAATGAAAATAAAAGTTTCTGGGCCTTTGAGACAAATTCCCAGGACCACAATTGAAGATCATATTGTTTTGTTTTGAAGAGCTGCACCCAGTAGTGTTCAAGGCTTGCTCCTGGCTCTGGGCTTAGCAATCACTCCTGACAGGGGTCAAGGGATCTTATGTGATGCCAGAGATCAAATCCACATAGGACATGGGCAAGGCAGTTCCCTTTCCCACTCTTAGGTCCATGATTCCATCTTTATAGGAGCTGTGGAAACGTATCATGTGGCTTCATGTTTTGGCATGTGTTGGAAATATCAGCTCTGTTTGCTTCCCTTTATTTTTTTTGGGTATCAACAACGAATGTTGCTAAGGTGTTACTCCTGGATCTTCATTCAGGA